CTTGCTTGCATAATACACTGGCCATTGTGCCTTTTCCTCTTCCCGCACTAAAGCTGCACTGACCGCGAACTGAGAGACGGACAGGTAGATGAGCATGATTTCCTGTAGAAAAGGCTTAGAGAAGAGAGGTGGCTTCCCTAGGTGTTCTTTTATACTCTGGAATGCCTGTTCACATTCGGGAGTCCATTCGAATTTTGAATCTTCTCGGGGTTTATTTCTATGCCCCGCTGATTAACCATATACCCTAGGAACTTTCCTGATGACACCCCGAACGAACACTTGAGAGGATTTAGCTTCATTCTGTAGAGTCGGAGAATGTCAAACATCTCAGCGAGATGTGCAATGTGTTCTGAGGCGACCTGGGATTTGACCAGCATATCGTTCACATAGACCTCCATTGTCTTCCCGATCTGGTCAGAGAACATTCAGTTGACCAACCTCTGATAGGTCGCGCCCGCATTCTTAAGGCCGAAAGGCATAACTTTGTAGCAATATAGCCCCTGGTCCGTAATGAAGGACGTATGCTCCTTATCTGGCCCGTACATCGGGATTTGATTGTATCCCGAGTACGCATCCATAAAGCTCAGCAGCTCGTGCCCTGAGGTGGCATCAACGAGCTGGTCGATCCTCGGCAGAGGGAAGCTGTCTTTCGAGCAAGCCTTGTTGAGGTCGCTAAAGTCAACGCAGGTCTGCCACTTGCCGTTTGGCTTCTTTACTAGGACCGGGTTGGCAACCCAGGTCGGGTAGAGTGCCTCTCGGATGGACCTATTTTGGAGGAGGTTTTCCACTTCCGATTTTAGTGCGGCGTACCGCTCTGGATCCATCACTCTTCTTTTCTGGCGAACCGGTTTGGCTTCATTGCTGACGTTTAACGAATGGCAAATAATGTTCGGGCTGATCCCGACCATATCTGCATGCGACCAGGCAAACACGTCAATGTTTTCCTTTAAGAAGCTTATCAGCTCGGAAGCAAGCTGAGGGTTGAGACAGCTCCCAATCCTTAACACCCGGCTCGGCTCTTTTGGATCAAACGAAATTTCAGACAGATCCTCAACTGGGCCGCTAGGAGGGATTTCTTGGATCCGCGGATCTATGTTATCCTCTGTTGGACCAGGCTGTGGTTCGATCCGACTGATCACCATAGCCTGGCGAGGCACACATCGCGAAAGGCCTTTTCCTTTGTCTGCCATTTGCACCGCTTTTACATAGCATTCGTGAGATGCGCTTTGCGATCCGCTTACTTCCCCTATCCCTGTTGGAGTGGGGAACTTCATCTTGAGGTGATAAATGGAAGTGACTGCCTTGAAGCTTCTCAACAGAAGTCACCCCAAGATTCCATTAAAGGCCGATGGGCAGTCCACGACCAGAAATTCGGTAACCCTAGTCACCTCGTTGTAGTCACCGAGTGTGTCTGGTAGCTAGATTGTTCCTCTGGGGATTAGGTAGTCCCTTGTAAAACCGTAAAGAGGTATCGAGGCGGGCTTCAGGTCAGCCTCGTCTAGGTTCATTCTATCGAAAGCAGTCTTGAACAGGATGTTCACAGCACTTCTGTTGTCCACAAGCATTCTGCAGACATTATGACACCCTATCAGGGGCATGATCACAAGGGCGTCCTCGTGAGGATGGTGCAAGCGAGCTGTTTCCCTTTCGCAGAAGGTGATCAGCTCCTCCTTTCGAGCCTTTTGTGGTCGCTGCGAGGTATTCATTACTCTGATCGGGTCGTGATATGCTTCGCGAGCATACCTTTCCTGTGCTCCTCGCGTGTTCCCGCGAGGTGCAGGCCTCCGAAATTATATTAACGCTACTGTATCCGCTGCGATCATGACGTTTTTTCTTTTGCTCCCCTTGGCTCTCCTTTGGGGAGTCATCAATATACTCCTTGAAGTGCCCCTTTTTCATGAGCTCTTCGATTGCCTGCTTTAGGGCTCGGCATTCATCAGTGTGATGCCTGTTATCTCGATGGTAACGGCAGTATTTTTTGCCGTTTCTGGCCATAGCAGGAGTTTTCATTGGTTCCGACTCACTGAGCAGGCTGGCCTCCTCGGATTTGTCAAGGATTGCAGATATGGACACGTTCATCGGAGTGTATTGAGCTCTGTCCCTGTCACGACGAGGAACAGGAGCATAGGACTTTTTGTGCTCGTAGCGGGGTTTCTTCCCTTTTAGCTGATCGTCAATGTCTCATTTGCGATCTACTCTCCTATTTTCTCCCCGCCCAGACATACTGCTCGAAGTGCCATGATCGCGGCGGCGAAGTGCCGCCAATGAATTCTCTATTCGGAGATACTTTTCTGCAAGATTGTAAAATCTGGTAAGGGAAACATCGTCTTCAGCCTGCAGTTCTTTCCATAGGCCGGTTTGCGGGCGAACTCCAGCTATTATAAGTGTTCGGATGGACTCTTCTGGAGTGTGAGCCACCTTGTTTAGTTCCCTGTGGAAACGGTCGATGTAAGATTGCAGGGATTCGTCTCTTTCCTGCCTTATGTTGCTGAGATAGCTCAAAGGCATCGAAAACTTCCGATTTGCTTGGAAATGCCGTAGGAACGTCGTGCTCATCTGAGGCCACGAACTGATCGATCCCGCTGGGAGCAACCTTAACCACCGCTTGGCGTGAGAAGTGAGCGTCACGGCCAAACAACGGCATTTTGCAAGGTCCGAAACCTGGTGGAGCTCCATCAGGTCGTTGAACTCATACAAATGATCCTGCGGGTCATGGTTCCTGTCAAATGGTCGCATGTCGGGCATTCTGAACCCTGGTGGGAGTGGAGCAGCTAGCACTTCGGGAGAGAATGGGGATGCAGAGGCGACCTGGGCCTGTTCGCTTTACTGCTCCCTTAACCTGTCCAAAGCTTGCTGTAGCTCCTCAATTTGTGGTAACGGGCCCAATTGAGGGTTGCTTTCACCCATGCGAGTCCGGCCTTCGCGATTATGGTTCAGGAAAGTCCGGAGGTCGGATTCCTCTTCGCCTCGGCCGGCATTTTCGACCGCACTCGACACACGCTGGCTAGAGGCGTGTGAAGGTGATGGATTGCGCGGAGTGTTTTCACGACCCTCGCGGTGGTACGAACTGCCCCGCGAGGTGTGGGGACCACCCGCATGATAACGATCGGGATCGTTCTGCTGGCGGTGATAGGAATCATCGCGCCTGGCATTTTTGCTTGGGTTTGCCTGCGACGTGGCATGGGACAGCTCTGGATTTACTTTTTCACCGAGTCTCAGCTTTACCGGCACCCTGCTCGGGGCACGATTTGTGCTCGCTAGTCCTTGGGAGCCCGTAGGCTTACCTTTTGCCACTTGCTTTCTCTTACGTCTACGCGCTGCAGTGCTCACGGCACGGGCTATTGCCCTTTGCCGCGCTTTCGCGCGACCTGCAGGCGTTTTTGAACCGCCCCAGCTATTGTAGATGACATGCCTTGGTCCAAACGGTCCAACCTCTGGTTGACCATCTGGAGAGTATTGTCGAACCTCTCCAGGTAGCTTCTGATGGCGGGGTCGAGTTTCGAAGCTGCCGGGACATCCCCCGCAGCATTTTGTGAAACTGGAAGTACCTTGGAGGGGTTATCCCCTTGGTTCAAGGAGACTCCTTCAGCGCGCTGATTAGCTTGCTCAGGTTCAGATTGGCGGGCCATTGGTTGCTGTAGGACCAGTAGGTCGAAGATTCTCCTGATGAAGGGTAAACGCTAAATCAGGCCCTCCTTCTAGCGCCAAACTGTTGATGCTTGATTTTGACACCAACTAATCAACACACACGCAACATTGATTGGTCAAGAAACACACGTGAATATGGATAGTGAATATGAAATAAATGCAATGAGAGCTTTTAAAGTGGTTCGGATGCTAAGGTAGCAAGTCCTACGTCCACTATTTGTATTAATATGGTGGGTCAGGTAGCTAAAGCGGACTGACTTACAAATGATTGGAAAAGTAAATACAAAGCTTTTAGAGAGAGAGAGTTCAAATGTTAAAATGGTCGAATCCCCTTAATGAAGGGGTCTTTCTCTTTTTATATCAAGTTGAATGCGTGTAATCATCATTAAATCCTTGGGTTGGTGTGAATGTCAGAACATAATCCGGCTTTACGTCCCGTTGCCCATTTCCTAAGCTGATTTCACGCGATTTGGAGCAGGGAAGCGGACACGCGGGAGCTCCAGGGCGCTTGGCAGGCCTGACGTGCGCTTACCGTTCTGACGGGAGCAAACCACGTTTCGTCACGTGACTCCACGTCAGCCCTTGATTTCCTAGGCATAACACAATATTTTTTTTGGGAAATCTAAATTAATTACCCTTAAAAGGTCTTTTCTGAAAAACTACTAAATACAAATATAAATCAAAGGTGTTTTATTTACGATTTAGAACTCCTTTCTCAATTTTCCGTACGTAACAAACCAAATATTTAATTAAGAAAAGCAAAGCCCCATTTGCCAAAGAAACCCTCCCGTATCTCATCCTCACCGCCCCTCATCTTGTTCATCCTCTCCTCTCCACCACTTACAAAACCCTGGAAAATCCGCCACACTACTTACTCTTCTAGCATCATCAATTACGTCATTTCAGCCTTAGATATGTGAGTCCACATCTCCTCTGTTAATTGTGTTATTATATTTGGGCTTAGGCTCATTGTACAGTGGAATATCATTCCTATTGAACAATATATATGTATACTATTTTAGAGATAATAAAACAGATACTTTTCATCAAAAACTAATTTAGTACCAAAGCCTCCTCTTGTGCGGTTAGATCGCCAATTTCAATCACTTTCTACTACTGATCTCATTGATTTTCTTAAATGAATCCAAATAATAGTAAACCTGACAAAACGGGTTTAGACTTGCAGTTGAACCCGTATCCGAGTAAATCTTATAGATTACGGGTCCATTACATTGGGCCTTTTTTTTTGGGCTTGTACCCAGTCACACCCGTTTTGAAAACAAGTGAGGCGGGTATCCGTTTGTTTTTTCAGAAAAAAAAAAAAAAAAAAAATATTCCCCAAATGTTTACAAGAGAAATCGTCTCACACTCACTCGTCACGCTCGTCTCACACTCACTGACTCTCATCGCCGCTTCTCCAGTCTCCATCGATCGCCGCTTCTCCAGTGTCCACCGGCCGCCGCTTGCTCTGGTAACATACACACACACAAACTCAACAACTGTTTGTCTTTGATTGTTTTTATGTTTATGGTGTTTTGGGTTTTGGAGAAGTTCACTTTGAGAAAAAGTAACCTTTTTTTAGGGTTTTGGCCTTCTGGGTTTTGAGAATATTGTGGGGTTGGTACTTGGTTCATGTGATGCTGTTGGACCTGCTTATTTTCATCTCCTTCTAAATTCAATCCTAAACAGCGTATCTCTCTTTCTCGATGGTACCCATTTCCCCTGTTCATCATGTTTTAAAAAATGGGATGAGGTAGTGTCGGCTCTAGGCTATGGCATTTAATTGGGTTTTTCAATTAATATATTATTTGTTGACACTGAAAAAGTGAATAATAATACTCAGCGGCTGATTATCTTAATCATCAATTGTGGGGTTTGGAGACAAAAGTTTCATTTGAATAAGGTTTGTTGGAACATAGATTGAACTTTCTTCTCTCTACAACTCAATCTATTGATTATGATGTTGACTTCACCAATTACATTCTTTTATATTTCATTCTTGTCCTCTTTAATGGTCACCAATCCAATGTAATTTACTCTCTAAAATCTGGACCGTTGAGAAAGGATTTATCCTAGGCACATAACACAGAAAAAGGGACGTTTTCTGGGTTTTCAATGAACAAAGCCAAAGATAAAGAGTGGAAGTTGATGCTTCCTCCCTTGAGGATTTTGATGGTCAAGTATTGAAGCTATTATTGCTCAAACATTTAGACAAGTATTGTATAATATATGTATTTGTTTATCTTTCCACTTTAACGCATTTATAATTGTGTTATTATTACTCTTGTATTATGGGGTATGATTGTAAAAAATGCAAAATGTATAAATTGCGGGGGTTTAACTGTAAAAATTGAAAACTAAAGTGAACAGTATGGGTACCTGCAGGTCCACCCGTACCCACATCGGGTCGGGTGCGTGTCCAATATTTTAGACCCGGTTTAGTCCTGTACCCATGTGGACTCGACCCGTACCTAGCCCACCTGCCCGTTTTGCCAAGTTTAGATAGTAGAGGGTTGTTTGTATGTTTTCAAACCTATAGGGTTTTATTTGGGGGTGTGTTTGTAGAATTAGAAACTTACGGGGTAGTTATTAATTTATGTTACTTATTGGTGTTGTTATTTGCTATTTGATTGTTTGGTTGGTGTAGTTATTGAATTTGTGTTACTTGTTCGTGTTGTTATTTGGTTTTTTGGTTGGTGTAGTTATTTGTTCTTTGGGAGTATTTCTGTTTATTGGGTGTTATTTGCTGGTGGTATTGGTTTGATTCACCTGTGTTAATGGCTTCTGATGTGCCTCCTTCTAAGGTTGCCTCACGTATTGATATTTTCTTTAATGGAATCAATTATGTCGAATGACATCAAGCCATGAGGAGTTTCTTGAAAGGCCGCAAATTATGGCATTATATTACTAGTGGTATCAAAAAACCCGAATAAAGGGAGCACGAAACTAATGAAAAATTTCAAGATCACATCGAGGATTGGGACAGCAAAAACCATCACTTGATTACTTGGTTTTGTAATACCTCTGTACCAAATCTCCGTCAGGAATTTGGTAACTATGACCTAGCTAAAGATGTTTGGGACTTCTCAGGCAGTCGTTATGTTACTAGTGGACTTGTTTACCAACATTAATTTTGGAGCATGCTTGATAGTATGAAGCAAGAATTTGGACAGTCGGTTCGTGACTATTATGCTAAAATGTCTTATGTATGATGATTTATTTATTTATTTAATTTTTAAGTTAAATAAATTTTGTTTTATGTATGATGATTGACTTTTTTTTAAAAAAAAATTAATGAATTTGGTTTTGGGTGAGGAACATGAGGAAAATATGGATGAATTTTGTATTAAGTTTGGGTAACTATTTGATGATAAGTTTTGTTGGGCATTTGGGGAAATAAAATAAAGTGAATGAAGACAGTTTTGAAGTGAAAATTTTGATGAAGATTTAGATGAAGTTTTAGTGAGGGAAGAGAAAAGATTGAAATAAAGGGAATAAGATTTTTACTTAAATTAAGAAAAAAAGGGGTTAGTTTTATTTGGAATGTGTTGGGCATGGAAGAAAAAGGATATTAAGGTTATTAACCCTCATTCTGTTAAACTAAATGAAAAACTATTGACAGCAGGGGTTTTCAGTTATTTCTAATACCTGAGAACTTAATTAGTTAAGACAAAACCTCCGAGGGTTTAAAGAAGGGTTTAGTACTTTAACCCCATTGGGGTTTGGCCAAATCATTAAACCCCCTTGTGGTACTAATAATTACGCTAAACCTTGTGTTGTCAGCCCCCTAAAGTTTTTTTTGGTTAATTTTAACGAAATCGAGGGTAAAAGAGTAAAATGTACCTAAAATTTTCCAATTACTAAGTGTGAATATTATTGTTTTAAAACTTGGCCTGGCGGACCGGTAATCGGCTACTAAGCCAGGTTGGGCTAGGCAAAAAACTGAGGAAACTGTTTCACCCTGTTTCACCTGGGGTTGGACTGTCGACGTTGTAGCAACCCATCGGTCCAACCGGTTTTTGGGATAAACCTAGTGAAACATTAAATCCCCCCTTTAATACCCTAAATCGATTTTTCCCCCCTTTTCTTCTTTCCATCGATTGAACTTCACTCTTTTTGTCTCTCATTTGCGATTTCATGTCGATTTCTTGGTCGACATCTTGCTTTCATCTTCATCAGCGGGAGCTGACAACTTGGTTTCATCTTTTTCATGGCTTAAATCGATTTTTTCCTTATTTTTCTTTCCATCAATATCAAATAAAGAAAAAAAAAAAAAAAATTCCTTAACCCAATTCACCCAATTTTGTGATTTCCCTCGCGCCCATTTTTTGGTTTTCTTCAAAGGTTCTACCGGTGACTCTCATTTGCGCAATTTCCTCTCTTCACCATGGATCATCTCCTCTTTGTCGTCAACTCCAAATCATCTTTGTCAGGTACGGTCAAAATTGATCTCTTCCTCTTTCATCTCTCTTTAACTTCTACGTTTCATCTCTCATTTCCAATTTATGGGTTTTTAGTCTAAAATCAAAATTAGTGTTGTGAGGAAGAAGAAGAAGGGTAGTAGAGAGAGAATGTGAAGAAGGGCAGTAGAGAGACCTTGAAAATTGAAGTCTTATGGGTGAAAAAATAGCCTTGATACTTGGTCATGAAAGTGACAGATTTGGTTTATGTGCCTATCATTTTCTATTCTTAGGTTTCTTTTTCCAGTTTATTTGAATGTGCGGGGATGTTTTCCAGATGTGACAATGGCTTTCCTTTCTCTTTATTGAAAATGTTGGAGTTGGGTTGAGAGTGGGGTGAAGTGGTACTTGCTTGCTGGCTGTTGAAGCATGGTTGGGAGAGGTTTTGTTTTTTTTTTTTTTTGGTTTTGGGTTGCAATCTTTTAGGTCCTTTGGTTGCTGGTTTGGGTTTGTCTGGGTCCGTCCTGTTTTTTTGTATTAAAACATTGGTTAATACATTTACACCTCCTAAAAATTCTAAAACTAAACATATATCCCAAAACTCTCGAAACTACCACATAGATCCTAACAAATTGGGGGTTGACTGAATTTGACCAAACACAATATGAATTACCCTTTGAACTTGACTAATTTACCTTAAAATCTATTAACAACTCATTTTCATATGAAAAGGTAAAAAATACTAATAAAAATTAAAAGAAAAACTTAATTAACACAAATCATTAACCTAATAACACAAATACTAAATAAAAAAGCATTAAAACTAACTTTTAAAGATTTTGAAAAATTAAGAATACTTAAAAAAAAAAAAAATATTACAAAAACCAAAAAAAGAAACTGTAATATTTGCCAAGTTAAAATATTTCTATTTTTTTCTTTAAATTTTTATCAAATTTGTTTTATAACTTTTTAAAAAGGAAGTTTTCAATTTTTAGATCATTTTATTTTTAATTTTTTTCCATTTATTTCTTATTCTTTTCATTATTTAGATTTTTTTTTTCATTTTTCTAGATTTTTCCCTTTTTCAGAGGTTTTTTTAATTTTATTTTTTAGTTATTTCTATTTTCTTATTAAAATTTTTACTATTTTACATAATTTAATAATTTTCTAACCCTAATACGGGTGTTTGGGGCTGTTAGAGATGAAACGAAAGTAAGGGGGTGGGTCGCAATTGATGGATTTAGCAAGTGAGGACATTAAGGTCATTTACCCTTTTGGTGGTTAAAAGTAACAAAAAAAAGACATTGACGGCAAGGGGGTGAGAGTCATTATCAGTATCACAAAGTGGTTGAAAATAATTACTAATACTACAAGAAGTTTATCTTAATTCGACCAAACCTCAAGGGAGTTAAAATACTTATCCCTTTAAAGTAATTATCCCACATCTTACAACTACGCAAAGGTGTGGTTAATGTGAGCCTAGGGTGGGCCAACGCCCTCCTTGGAATTTAAAAAAAAAAAAAAAATCTAAAGTTATTATATTAGACCCTCAATGACACGACTTGTCCTGACCATCCCCATCCCACAAGCTTTAAGTGCATCCATGAGACTCGGGTGATCGAGATATACCATGTTAGAAACTGTAAAACCATAAAAACTTGTATTTTTGAAATAACATTATAAAACGTTTCTTCTGTATGTCAAAACGAGGGTAATCTATGGTATCAGGTTTTATATTCTTTTACAAACCAAAATAAAACATGAAATGACACATCGATGGGGCAAAACATTAGCCTTTGTGGCGTAAAAGTGAAACCCATCGATTATACACTTGGTAAAATAGAGTCGTGTGGCTCAACCTTGAGTGGATGTCACTCTTTTGCACAATCCTCTTCTTGACCTGATGAGGGGAAAAAAAAAAACATTTGAAAAAAGGGGTGAGCTAAAAAAACTCACTAAATGGGGAATAGAAGAAAACATTTTAGTATGCAACATAACATTCATGCGTATAAAGTCTCAATTCCATAAACATGTTTTATAAATATATAAACCATCTCTCACAACCAATGTTGGTGTCTCTCACCGCAAAAAAAAAAAATTAAAAAAAAAAAAAAAAATCTATCGTGCTAAGCGGAATTTGCATCGCTCTGGCAATAAAACTGTCAAACCCAGTGAAATTCGCATCGTTTGGGATAAAAATGTAATGTTTTACCCAACGTAATTCACATCACTTGTGCAGAGCATTAGAATCGATCATGCCTAACGGAATTTGCATTGCTTAGGCGAAACACTGGGGTTTGTCCTACCCAACGAAATTTGCATCGTTCGAGTAGAGTTTAACAATCCATCATACCCAGTAGAATTCGCATCACTCGAGTAAAGCCAATAAACCAATCATACACATGCTCTACAACGTTAATTAACACAAATCATGCCATTTCTCATAATTGAAAGTCATATAGTAGCATTAGATATCATATGCAACATGGGGGTGAAACTATAAGTTTCCAAACACGTTTTCAAAATTAACAATTTGACCCATTTTCGTATCATCATAAGTTTTTCTTACCTAACAACATCAAGATTTCATCTTTCTTATGTAAGTAAGTGATATTAGCAATGAATCACATCTATGTAAGGAAAAAAAAAAAAAAATTGGACAAATAGTAAGCCAAAATACTCATTTGAAGCTTATATCAAACCTTTATCAAATTTAAAAATTGAGGTTTATATCAAACCTTTATCAAATTTAAAAATTGAGGTTTAGATTTTCCACTCACACGTGAAGCTTGTCCCAAATAATGAAAGCCTTCAACAAACTTGGTTCTTATTTTCCTGCTTGAACCAATTATTAAAGAAATTAGCTTTAACCCTTAAGTTAGGAAAATAAGAAAAAAGGATGACAATTTACCCAATTAAAGGCTTACCCGTGGATAATGCACGCCAAAAATTGCTTTGCTAACAAATTTCGGGTTAGATTTACCCTTTTCCTCTTTTCTTTCTTTCTCTCTTTTGTTTCTCTTCTTCTTCTTCTTCTTCCTCCCTTCTCCTCCCCTTGCAATCGGTTGAATCTGGGTTTAAGATGGGTGCTTGGCAAATACCAATTTGTCCCCCCAACTTTTACTCTATTTTATATCCTTGACACATGAGCATTTTCATTACATCTTGACCCCCAAATTATCGTTAATTTGGAATAGTCCCTAATTGTTGAATATTTTCACTTACACCCCCCAAAATAACTCTTAACACTCACAGTGCGATCCAAATTCCATAGAGCTCTATGCTGCGGTATGAAAAAATGTGTGTTGCGACATACAATCTTGCAGCCCCAAAAACTCCTCTTTTTAGCCCTTGACACATTTTTAAACAACATGCACAACTTCTAATCACACCACAAACATTCTAGATCATCCAAATGCATACCATAAAGCTCCACACCACTCAACAACTTCTAACACGTTGACAAGCCAAAGATCAGTCATGAAAATATAAATTTCTAGCCACAATTCCATGTATCATCCAGCCGAAAACCCAATTTAAAACATCACCATTAGAATTCCTTCAAAACCAAAACACTCTCATTTATCAATAAAACAAACCAGTTCCACAAATTGACTGAATTTTCTCTTCACCAACTTAATTTGGACAATCACAACACAAGCAATATCCTGCCACAACTTCATTCAACATATATCATACACATACATGATACATGATTAATCAACCCATAACCAATCTAAATTCTAATACAAATTACAAATCCAACACACTCCAAAATAAAACATATTACAAAAAGGCACCCCCCACAACCAACCATCATAAGTTTTCATTCATCTACACATAAAAAGGAGAAAGCATGCAAT